TAACAACGACTCACACCTGATGATAGAGCTGTGTCATCAATCTTTTCTCACATCACATGCTTTCTTATAGAGGAATCAGTTGGCCTAGCTGCTGCTGGTCCAGCACCATCCTGTGAATCAAAATATTGACTGCAAGTAAACAAAATAGTCTTTGAAACAAGGGCAAGTCAGAAATATTTTTACAAAATTTAATCAACCAGAAAGTAATTTCCATGACTAACATTCAAAGCCCCATGTTAACAAGTGGTGACTTGGCTATTTATTTTATCAAATGATCAATGAAAGTATGTAAGCAAATAAGATATTGTTTGACCCTATGAATAGTGAATAAGTTCTTTTAGGGATGATGATTGAGTTTTTCGGTAAGTCAACCTTCTCAATGAAGGGTTAGTTTTCTCCGAGTGTCGTGTCTCTCGAGGAGTGGACGAAGGAAATTAGCTAATTTTTCTAACTAGACGAAGGTTAGGACGAGTGTGAAAGTCTTCTCAATTCAATTTGAAAAATAGATACTACACTACTGATCGCTTTTGAGAAAAAGAAAATAAATAGTACGGGTATAGGACTAGACTTCGGGGCAAGGCATCATGTGAGTTAACTACTGTTGTCACATATTTAATCAATAATTGGAATAATAATATTTCTGTCACACATATTTCATTAACTTATCCTCTCTCAAGGCAACATTAATGTGTTCTAAAAAGTTTGGCTTAATTAATTTTATATCCTTATAGACAAGGCAAAAACTAATTTCCAATAATTAATTAATTTTTCTCTCGACATAACTAATTAATTTAACAATAAAAATAATTCTAGAACAATTATTCCAACTATTAAATAAACATACAGAGTATATGCCCAAATTTAGCCAAGACCCTAATCTGGGTCCTAACCCATACTAGATATTAACATAACATAAAAGAAAAGAACATTTTATTAAAATTGCAAGTATTAAAACTTACATTAGAGGGCAGAGTCGGAGCCACTTTGGGACAACTAGAACAAAACTAAACTAAAATATTAAAATATAACTGAGAAAAGAGCGGAGAATGGGGTTCCGGGCCTTAAAGACCCGGATTGGAGCTTGATTGGAATGAAGGGGCGAAGCCCTCCTTTTACAGGAGAAAGGCCTCTGACAGGCGTGAGCCTAAGGACCAAGCGCGCGCCTGGAGTTAGTGCTGCTGCTGATTGATGATGTGCGGCGGATTTGCACAATGAGGCAAATCAATTTCTTTCTTGCGTGAAGTTCTTCTCACCTTCTTTATATTTTTTTTACTTTGTTGATTTGATGATGATGATTTGGAGTTGACACATGAAATTGGACGCAACTCCCTTGCTGCTGCTGCCACAGTAGGCCGGCCAGCCAGTTTGCGCCACGTGGCAGCACCTGGTTGGCCGGATTTTGACCCGGTCCGAAAATATTTTCTAAAAACACAGACTTGCTCAAAATTTTATTCTGAACAACTTTTCCTTCTGTTCCGACTTCAAATTCCGAACCAATTTGGGTCAAAAGAATTAAATCTGAATCAAAACAACTTTTTTTAACCTTTTCTTTTCAAACAATTTTTTTTGGTGCTTTTCAATCTGTTTGAGCTCAAATCTTTTGACGGGGTGCACTCCCACATTTGAATACACATTTTTCACTTCAAGGATTTTCGCCATCTTTTTTGCTCCTTTGCTCTATTGCACTCCATTTTCACAATCTTTTACACTTTTTGTATCACTTTTAACTCAATTTTTACTCTTTTTACAACAAGACATAACTTTTGTGTACTTTTACAATTATGAATAAAAACTTATAAAAACCATTGAGAAATTGATTTGTTTAATCCAAAATTGGACAACAACACGTTAAATGTAGAAAAGATAAGTGCGTACAAAACGGACTTATCAAATTCCCACACTTAAGCGTTGCTTGCCCTCAAGCAACAATGTACATAAACAAATGAAATTTTGGAACCAACACGTATTAACAAAAAGATTTTGGAAAAACTATTGACCACACTTTTAAACAATTTATTGCACAAAACTCTTTTACACTCTTTATTCTTTACGAAAATAGAATTTCTAGAACTAGCACCCTTTTTACAAAAAGTTAGGAAAAAATTTTTTTATTTGTTTTTCTAAAAGATGCACATAAATTAATGTTATTGGCTAAATGTAAAAGTTGTCCATTTACAAACTTGGATACTAATGTTTAAAACAAAAGGATTGTAAGTGTTTTGTAATAACTGCAAAATAATTTTAGGTCAAAAATATGTACATTGAAAAACAAAATAAAAAACTTTTCTGAAATTATCATTTATTCCTATGCAAAGAGTAAGTTTGATTTTTTGTAGAACATCACTTTGTCATGTTGACACAAGCAAAAACTTTGATCCTCATCCATGACATAGAACCACGAGCTTTTTGGATTTTTATTCACTCAAAAACCTCATCACACGACATAGAACCGCATGCTTTTTGGCACTCACTTCAATATAAGTCTCATCATCTGACATAGAACCAAATGCTTTTTGACTTTTCAATTCACTCTAGAACTTGGTCTCACCAAAGTGTGTTCTTTGAAATTTTTTTAGTTCCAAAACTTACAATGCAATCATTGAAATATCAAATTTTTTTTCAGAAAAGTATACTGCTCATACTCAATTTGAAGTATTGAAACAGCATCATTTTAAATGACAAGTTACAAATGTTTGACCTTAACGTATTTTACAAGTTAATATTTATTCACTAAATCAATGATTTTTTTACACATTAGTATCCAAATTTATTTATTTACAAAACTTATTAAAGTTAACCAATAAAAAAAACTATATCTGCAATTTAAAGAAAAATTTTAAAATTTTTGGCTAATTTTTGCATAAGGGAGCTCTAAAAAATAATTCTACCTATGAAAAGAGTAAAAATTGTAAAAGAATTTAAAAAGTGTCAATAGTGATAACTAAACCGATTCAGAGTATTCGAGATCGGGCAGAATGCTGCCAATTAGGTGCTCTTAGGCTCACCCGAATAAACCTTTTTACAGAATGACCCAGTAGGAATGGTGGGACAAGTTCGGCTCCCGAAGGCGTCACCTTTTGTGTCCACTTAAGTACCATTCCAGCTTAGACAGTCATTCCGTACACGGTATAGAGATCAATATTAATATGCAAAATGCAACAAAATGTATAAAAATATTTTCAAAAAGTTTTCCTACACAAATAAAAATATTCTGTACCAAACTCCAATCTCCCCACACTTAGGGTTGACCTTGCCCTCGAGGTCATTAAGCGATAAAAACAAGAGTTTGGGACAGAGACAATTCTTAATTTTTTTTGAAAAGGTTTTTACAAAATTTTGCACAAAAGTTAGTCATTCCTCTTTTTTTTGTTGAGTCAAAAATGGTTCACCAGCACTCCTAATTCCAAACTCCACCTGCACACACAAACACACAAAAACGCATAAAAAGGAAAAAGAAAATTAGAATTTATTCACTTGGGTTGCCTCCCAAGAAGCGCTTCTTTAACGTCACTAGCTTGACGTTAGCCCGTTTTTTACGGGACTTACCGATCCGAGAGTCATAAAGTTTGACCTTTTCGACTCTCTTCTGATGCCACCTTTGTTCTGTTCTCTTGTAGTCAAAGTCCAGGATCTTTGACTCATTCCTGTGGCTTGGTGGCAACAGGAAAAAAGGAGGAGACTCGTCTTGGATGGGTGGTGGTGGGAGTCTTCTCAGTGTATCCACATCATTGGCTTTCAGTGCCGGGATCTGACTTTCCAAGTCCCCAATGGGCTGACTTTCAGTTGGTTGATAGATGATTACGACATGGACTTCCCCTGAGCCTTCAGTGATAGTTTCTATAGACGGAATAGACTCGGCATCACAGGGTAATTTCTCGTCTATAGATTTGTCAAACTCATCAGTATCGGAATCAAGGGGGTCGGTGGTGGGCTCAGATTTCTCCAGAACAGGTTCCTCTGGATAAGTGTCTTCAACACATGTAAGGAGGACAGGTTCCTCCAACGTTTTTGGTGCAGCGGGTGAAGGCGGTTCCGAGACAGGACCCTTAGTAGGTTTCACCTCTTGTACGATTTGACTTTTTGGGCTTTCAGAAAGCATCACCACTGTACCTCGTGCAATCATTTCTGCAAGTGTTATCTTATTTTCGATATACAGTGGTGATGGAGTTTGTGGGTATTCAAGAATTGAGACATTGTTGGATTCAGTTTCAGATTTTATCTCAGATTCTTCATCCTCTTCTAGAACAACAATTTCCTCCTTCTCTTCTTGTTGTTCCATAGCCTTATTAAAGTCCTCCAGCATCTTTTGCATATGCTCCCAATATTCGCGTTGTTCGTTATCTTTCTGGGTTTGGAGCAGTTCGCGTTCTTCTTTGACTGTTTTGAGAAATTGTTCTCTCGCTTGGATTGCATCTCTGTTTGCTTCGATTTGCTCTTCACGAGTCAGAGAGTAATCACGGCAATAGCGTGGTTCAAATAATGAACACTCCATTACTAATGCTAGGTCAAGATAAAGTATTCTTTCCTCAGTCCACAGAATCTCTTCAATGAGTGGATCTAGCTGGTCATCGTACATTGGCCCTTGTTCGTCATAATCATCTTGATCACCATGAGGTTCATAATAATCCCCACAGTTGTCTTGGTATGGAGAATATCTAAAGCTCCGAGACGGGGTATCGTATGGTGATTCCTCATGGTATGAATAATAATCATGTCCATTATTGACGGAGTAGTGATCATAATAGGAATCCTGATGTGGATAATAAGGTGGTGGTGATGGTGGATAAGAATTGGACTGTTGGGAAAATGATGGTGGATGGTTGGGTGGTTGGTAGAAAGGAGGTGGATCGTAGTAATCATCTCGAAAATTCATTTTTAATGATTACTACGGGTGGCTTGTGAAAAAGAGGTGAGAAGATCGACCTAACCGGTCTTCACCTAAGCTAATTAAAAAAATTAAACTAAAATCGTGCCACTCCCCGGCAACGGCGCCATTTGATGATTGAGTTTTTCGGTAAGTCAACCTTCTCAATGAAGGGTTAGTTTTCTCCGAGTGTCGTGTCTCTCGAGGAGTGGACGAAGGGAATTGGCTAATTTTTCTAACTAGACGAAGGTTAGGACGATTGTGAAAGTCTTCTCGATTCAATTTGAAAAATAGATACTACACTACTGATCGCTTTTGAGAAAAAGAAAATAAATAGTACGGGTATAGGACTAGACTTTGGGGCAAGGCATCATGTGAGTTAACTACTGTTGTCACATATTTAATCAATAATTGGAATAATAATATTTCTGTCACAAATATTTCATTAACTTATCCTCTCTCAAGGCAACATTAATGTGTTCTAAAAAGTTTGGCTTAATTAATTTTATATCCTCATAGACAAGGCAAAAACTAATTTCCAATAATTAATTAATTTTTCTCTCGACATAACTAATTAATTTAACAATAAAAATAATTCTAGAACAATTATTCCAACTATAAAATAAACATACAGAGTATATGCCCAAATTTAGCCAAGACCCTAATCTGGGTCTTAACCCATACTAGATATTAACAGAACATAAAAGAAAAGAACATTTTATTAAAATTGCAAGTATTAAAACTTACAACAGAGGGCAGAGTCAGAGCCACTTTGGGACAACTAGAACAAAACTAAACTAAAGTATTAAAATATAACTGAGAAAAGAGCGGAGAATGGGGTTCCGGGCCTTAAAGACCCGGATTGGAGCTTGATTGGAATGAAGGGGCGAAGCCCTCCTTTTACAGGAGAAAGGCCTCTGACAGGTGTGAGCCTGAGGACCAGGCGCGCGCCTGGAGTTAGTGCTGCTGCTGATTGATGATGTGCGGCGGATTTGCACAATGAGGCAAATCAATTTCTTTCTTGCGTGAAGTTCTTCTCACCTTCTTTATATTTTTTTTTTACTTTGTTGATTTGATGATGATGATTTGGAGTTGACACATGAAATTGGACGCAACTCCCTTGCTGCTGCTGCCACAGTAGGCCGGCCAGCCAGTTTGCGCCACGTGGCAGCACCTGGTTAACCGGATTTTGACCATGTCCGAAAATATTTTCTAAAAACACAGTCTTGCTCAAAATTTTATTCTGAACAACTTTTCCTTCTGTTCCGACTTCAAATTCCGAACCAATTTGGGTCAAAAGAATTAAATCTGAATCAAAACAACTTTTTTTAACCTTTTCTTTTCAACCAATTTTTTTTGGTGCTTTTCAATCTGTTTGAGCTCAAATCTTTTGACGGGGTGCACTCCCACATTTGAATACACATTTTTCACTTCAAGGATTTTCGCCATCTTTTGCTCCTTTGCTCTGTTGCACTCCATTTTCACAATCTTTTACACTTTTTGTACTACTTTTGACTCAATTTTTACTCTTTTTACAACAAGACATAACTTTTGTGCACTTTTACAATTATGAATAAAAACTTATAAAAACCATTGAGAAATTGATTTGTTTAATCCAAAATTGGACAACAACACGTTAAATGTAGAAAAGATAAGTGCGTACAAAACGGACTTATCAAGGGACGAATGAATAATAATAATATTATTATAAATAACAACAAGAATAATAATAGTAATAATAATTGTAATAATAATAACGGTAGATTAGCACAGAATTTGTGCTGAAATAGACAGATCATGTGGTCTACTATACTAATTCGTGTGGTTTACTACACTAATTCTTACACCTTCAAATTTTAAGGTCGAAATTACAACGCAATTAGCCAATTAGGTGAATGGCCTCGACGGCTAAGCATCATTAAGTAGAACAAACTTCTACACGTCATTGAAAGTTTGAAACAATCATAGGGAAACATTATCCGGAAAAAACTAACATAGAAAGAAATACAAAAGGATTATTTCATTATTTTATAGTTCTCCTGAGTTGTTGAGAAAGGATTGTGGAATAAATAGGCAAATGTCTCAACGACATAGGAAATCGGATTCTATTTATTCTTTGTTTAAGCAATGATACTATTCTCTTTCCTTCAAAAAAAAGAGGATACCAACTTACCGTATATTCCAGCCACATTGCTTCCTGAGATCTCTTTTTTGCCATGTGGTCATCAGGCATTCCACCACTGGAAGAAGAAAGATGCTGAAAACACACAATCACATGATCAAAACACATATGGCACTAATTCCAAAATATGAAGGAACAAAATACATCTCTCTTGCCACAAGTTCAATTTTACAGCACATCAGTTGATATTCATATTACTCCATATTTCCCAAAGGCTTGTGATGTTTAGCGTAAAGTTAATGATCAAATAGATACAGCCAAGACTCATATGGTCAAGTGGCATCGATTGTTTTCTGAAACTGTCAATCAAAGGTTCCATTTTTAACTCATACATTATGTTTGGTTCAAGGAATTTGAAGGGGAAAATAAAAGAAAATGAGAGGGAAAACAAATTTTTTGTTTGGTTAGGGAGGAAAAGAAAAGAAAAGAAAAGTTGAAGGAAAAGAAAATGGAAGAAGAAATGAACTAAACAAAAGGAAAATAGTTTTCCTTCTGTTTTGGTGAGGAAATGAAGAGAAAACTCCTTTTACCTTTCCTCTCAAATTCCATGAACCAGACATAGGGATTATGATCTCATGTAACATTGAAAGCAAAAGTTTAAAAAAAAAATAATGGGGTCTATGAGAGGGGAATTTTGTTGGGAGTTTAGATTGTTGAGTTCATAACAAAATTTATTGTCAGCAGTCGTGAGATTTTATGGGACGTTGGGATTGGGATTGGGACCACCAATCCCCCCATTCTTTGGATTCTTTCCAATAGATATAAAAAGACTCCATTTACTCCTTAGAAAGTACTGAAGGTGAATTTGATTAATATTTACTCTCTCTGTCCTTAAACTTTTTTGTAATTTTCCTTTTTTAATTGTCCTAAGATTCACTTCCATTTCTTCTTTATGAAATGTTTGTGTGACATATTTTTTTCTCACTTCTAAGTCAATCTACTATCACACAATTTCATTTTTCATAATAACCATTTCAGGTCAACTTGGGAAGAAAATTGTAGGATAGATGGAGTACTATTGCTGTTGCTACTGTTATTGAGGAGCCTTTATGCTATTATCATTAACGAAATTAATTAAATTGTTAAGATCTTAAAAAATAAAAGGCAATGCTATACTAATTGTGTAATACTAAATTCTAATACTCTGTATATCACAACAAAAATCAAACATATCCAAACAAATACTCCATTTTTGAGTAATGATAACAATTCCAATATTAGACAGGCATACAAACAAATTGTTTTTATCTGTGTTTGAACCAAACAGCCAATTATTAGAGTGAATGTATTGGGCAGCACTAGTCAAGTTAGTAGAACGTATCAGCACCGGTTAGTGAAAGATGCTTAACGGCACGGGCTAATGGTTTAGAATCCTTTCGTTCTAAGTATACCATATAAAATGAAATGGCTTGACTAGCCCTGTGTAAGCTTGAGTATACGTACCGATTCAACATTATCTATTCCTTACCGGCCTATTCTTTTAATTCTTTTAAAGGAAGTATGCTCGCCCTAATATTCTATTAATAGAAATAATAGAAAGGGAAGCCCCGAAAACCTTACGAATAGACCATTGCCGTCATTCAGTGAACGAAAGCAAGTATCTGGTCTTTTAAGATCGTGAGGCATTGCATGCAGGAGGTCGATTTGGTTAGTACGAATGGCAGCTACCAGGGGACAAGGGACTTTTGAAAGCAGAAGGAAAGAACAGCTCCACTGAAAAACCTTCTCCTCTTCTTGTGCATCTACCCACCATGGAATTTCTCACTCCAACGGAGCGAAATGATTTCTACGCCTTCAGATCCACGTACGACTGGACCTAGCACCGCCCTGTCTCGGTATGATGACCCGCCTACATATTCATTTGACGTGATTCTAGATCCCCTCCGGCATTGAGACCCTTGTAAACGAAAATAAAATGAAAAGAGACCGCTCGGCCATGTTGGGCTTCGACTAGGAGTTCTCCTCGGCCATAGAGAACAAAGGGAAAACTTCTTTTCTTGCGGATTGTGAAACCATTTGATTCAATGGGAAGATTTCCGTACCAGTAACGACCATCCGGGAAGCCAACTTCACCCATTTAGTGCGCTCTTTCTTTTAGGTGTCGAGATCTTTAGGAATCTTGTCCTGGCACTGACTCACGTGTTTTGTACCTCTACCTCTTCTACTTGTACCCGCTATTTGGTCCCCAAGCGGTTGTCAAACTCTTCCACGCCAGTACAGCTAACGTCAAACACAACATTCATTTTTATTTTGTTTCATTATGATTGTTTTAAAGTAACATATTATCCAGTTAGAAACTTTGATCTATGAGACTTCAACCTCACGGCTCACCCTAAGATTCTTGTGACTCAAATTGAGTGAGTTGTTGACCTAGTTCACACACATTATTTGGAATGAACAAAGCATTTTCAAGTTAGGAACAAAAGAAAATGGACTATTGAGGTTGCATGCAGAATAAGGCACTCTCTCTCACCTGAAGATGACAAGGTTCCAAAGTGTCAAAAAGATCTTCAGTTACATCTTGGGCTCTGACAGTATATAGAGCATTTTTAAATCCACGGGAAAAAAGAATAGAAGATATTCCTCTGTGTCCTTAGGCATTGAATATCCTTTAAACACACTAACTGGGGGATCACATATCTGGTAATGGAAAGAAAAACACAAAAAGAATTGAATAATCAGAATAAAAGTTAATACTTCCAAGCGCCCGATAACTGTGTAAATACATCTAATGCAGTGGTAGAAATGCAACAAAATGTTACAGTTTCCATTTTCCAAAACATTGTTAGTGAACAAAGCATGTGGTGATAGGTAAAGTGTTTACTCAGATACAATTTCTGGAATTCTACTTGATGCATAAGACAAAATACCTAAAGAACTCTCATTCATTAGGAGCCAGAAACAACTGAACACACTAGAGAAAACACTTTCCAACACTATTTCCTCTCTAAACTAAAGAATCTTAGGATTCACTAGTTATAAGTTGCACGTAGCAGACAAATCTATCACAAACATAAGAATGCATGAAGAATTCATGACCTCTATGTGCCCCTTGATGTAAATATCTCCATATAAAACCATTTCAAAGCCAAACAATTTCTATAATGAAATGGAGCATCCCAAAGCACCCCATAATGCACAAAGGAGATGTCATAGTGCAAGTACTGCATCGTAAAATATAAAAATGCCTCTTACACACTCCAAGGTAGACTTAAAAAAAATCATATAGATTACCGAAGATCCGACTTGAGTCTGGCAATCGCTCAAATTCTTGTAAATTCCAATGAGATCCCCCTTCCTAACAACAAAAATTGTCTCCATCCTCATTCATTTTTGGAGTAGTCGCAAGAGTTGGACCTGACTTCTTTGATCGAGAATTCTTTCGTCTAGACCCTTTAGATGAGTACAGCTTATTGGAAAAACTATTCAGAAACCAGTTAAAATTAACACTCCCAGCTCCAACATAGTTGACACTGGCATTCCATCTGTTAGATGAGAATTTGCAAAATGTACTAGTCCTTAACACATTTGTAGTGTTTGATGATATAGCAGCAGAACATGCACGAAACAAGCCGTTCATTAGCAGTAGGTCCGCCCCCGGGTCTCCACCAATTCCTGTACACGAGAAAATGCACAAAATTTGTACCCAATCAACCATTAACTTGACCTGGTTATAGTTGAAATCGATCAGAACTTTGAAAGTTAAACAAAATCCCAGCAACTAAAGCCACATCTTTATCAATTCCAAGCTAAATGCAATCGATTAATCACAAATTCCAACCAAGCATAGCAAAAGCAATGTGTGAACTGTGAAGCATAGACACGCAAAACCTTCGGAGACATCGCGTCGATGCCAGGAAAAGAAGGCACCTTAAGCGCAGCCGGGGAAGCGCAGGGCCGACGGAGAAAGGGAGGGCGAGAGACACCGCCGTCAGGAGTATTTCTTGTTTTGCGGATTTTTGAACGGAGAGATGAGAAGGTTGTACTCCCGTATACTCTGTATGCTGCTTGTAACCCAATTTGTACCCGCAGGTTTGCACCGACATTTTGTGTCGGTAAATTAGTTTTTGTTAACGCACCAACACTTTGTGTTCGTGAAAATTTTTGTTAACGCACCAACATTTGTATCGTTGTAAACCACCAAAATGTTAGTGTATAACTGCGATGTACAAATTCTGGTGTAAATTTTGGTGATAAGCCAGAAATCCACAAGTTTGAGTGTGTGATAGCATCTACACAGATTTTAAATATGTGAAATTTGCAAAATTACATACATTAGTGTCTGTGTTTGTCTAAAACACAAATATGATACACTATTTTAGCATACCCCTAAAATATTCAATGTCAAATATTTGATGTTAAATCTAATACTCCATCCGTCCCTAAATAAAGTTTCTCTTTCGTTTTTTCTTTGTCCCTAAATAAACTTCTTTTTTCCCTTAAAAAACCCTTTTTACCCCTTACTTTTTCATACCCTACCTATCACATCATATCTTTTTATTAATAATCTACCTATCACATCTTACTTTTACACATCACATCAAGGGTATCTTTGAAAAGTCAACACAAAAATATCCCTCCATTAAATCCTCAAAAAATTAAAAATGGAACTTTATTTAGGAACGGAGGGAGTAGATTTCTAACATTTTTGTAATTTGAAAAATTACTACATTTTTGAGTAAAATTCATAAAAGGTCCTCAGTTATATATCATTTTACATATTTAGTCCCTACATATCAAATATTACTAATTTAGTCCCCAATTATTATATTCATTTTCACGAATGGTCTTTTGTTAACATTTTCATTAAAATGTAGATAAAATTATAAATTCACACTCCTTTCTCTCCTCAATTAAGCTTCCTTCTTCCCTTGCACTCCTTTTCTAAACCCGTCGCTGAGTTTCTTGCTTTGAACCCAAAACTAAAAGCATCACTCTTCTCTCAATTGTTTATCTAACTGCAGGAATGATCATTTAAGTTTTGGGTTTAAGAGCTTCAAACTCAACGACGAATTTGGGAAAGAGTATGAGAAGATGGACGAAGCTTAATTGAGGAGAGAGAAGTATGAATATACAATTTTGTCCATGTTCTTAACGGAAATGTTAACAAAGGACCATTCGTAGAAATGAATATAATAATTGGGGTCTAAATTAGTAATATTTGATATGTAGGGACTAAATATGTAAAAAGACATATAACTGGGGACCTTTTATGGAATTTACTCTACATTTTAATTCCAAAGCTTAAATTTGCTATTGAATTTTGAACCACAAAATACATTGTACCGAGTATAATGTAGAAAATTGTTCTTGGGCACCACATATTTTGAGAAACTAACTAGCATGTACCTCACATTTTTAAAATATACTCCGAGGTGCCTCTATTTTGAAAACTAAGTATCGAGTACCTCACATTTTTAAATTATACTCCAGGATACCTCCAAATATACATTCACTTGCCTATGAGGGACATTCCGTCTCACTCTCCGTCAAAGCCAATTACGCCATTAATTTTTAGAAATAGGGATTTGGAATTCAAAAAATAACCTTGGTTCTTACTCCCTCTGTCCCGGAATATTCGTCTACTTTTGACTTTTGGAACTGTTCATCTAAACGCTTTGACTCATCAAATTCTCTCAATGTGTAAGTCTAAATATAGTCATGTATGATCTTGTTTGATTTCTCCTAACATATACTCCCTCCGTCCCACTGCCTTTGTCCACTTACCTTTTGGCACACCATCCAATGCACTTCTTTAATCTATTTTATCTTGGAATTTGTATATTAAAAATTATAAAAATTATATATTAATAATCTATATGTTAAGACGAATCAAACAAGATCACACATGACTATTTTTAGGCTTACACATTGAGAGAATTTGATGAGTCAAAGTGCTTAGATGAACCGTTCTAAAAGTCAAAACTGGACAAAGACAATGGGACGGAGGTAGTAGATTATTACTCCGTAATATATAATTTCTATAATTTTTTAATATACAAATTATAAAATAAAATGAATTAAAGAAGTGTGTTGGATGATGTGTAAAAATGAAAGTGGACAAATACTCTGAGACGGAGGTAGTATACTTTAATGATATGATTCATCCAATTTAGTCTAAGGCAACCGGCGAGGCTTTCCCATGCCTCGCCCTGCCACATCACCAAAATATGTACTGTTCATTGCGTGGCAAGGGAAGTTTTACACGATTTGCAAGCCATGTGCAAGGCATTGCATCCATTTTATTCTTTTTATCTTTTTTTGCACTCATCACTTCATCCCAAAATATTTGTTCTCTTTTGAATAATGTGATATTATCTTTTTTAAATTAATTTTATATATACAAATTAGTAAGAAAATAAAAATTATAAATTACACCGTATTTAAAAATAATATCAAAATTTTACAAAACAAACAGTGATAAGAATAATTTATTTTATTAAATATACAATTAAAAAAGGAAGCACAAAAAATATTATCAAAAATCTAAAATAGTAACTACGACATTTTTGGGAACGGAGAGAGTATAAACAAAGTAGAATTATTTTTATGAAAAAATTAAATAAAATAAATTTTAATAATTAAATACAAAAATGTAAAAAAGTGACAAAGATAATGATTTGCCACTGCAATGCATGCCACTCCACGCTCTTGCCACATGATGACTGGACTATTTTTTATTGGTTGAAATGTTCCACGTCAACGTGTGGCATTCTAGTTTTTGCCTTGCCATTGCCGGTGCTCTAAGCTTTTGAATGATGCGGAATGTCCCTCACAAGTAAGTTAATATATATTTGGAGGTACCTCGGAGTATATTTTAAAAATGTTAGTTACCCGACAGTTAATTTTTCGAAATAGAGGGTACCTCAAAATATATTTTAAAAATATTAGGTATCCGACAATTAGTTTTCTCAAAATAGAGGGTACCTGTGTGCAGTTTTGTGAGTATAATGTGACAAAGATTTCTCTTATTGCAGGTTTTGAAAGCATTAAAAGCAAAAAGATCAAACACGAGAGAGCAGGCATTGATAGATATTTATATCATTTGCAGTAGACACTTATGGATTTCTTGCGTTTGAGGCTCTGGATTTATATAGTCGAGATATAGTTTTTATAAGAGCATTGGCAGCGACGTTCCAAGCCAATGCCATGCCATGCCACCTAGGACAAAAAAGTTTCCTTCCTTGCGTCCATGGATTGCAAGGCTTGGGCAAGGCACATATAACTTTTTTTACTTTTCAATTTTTATTTAAAGAAAGATTTCTTTTTGTATAGTAATAGAACTATTTTTTACTTTCTCCATCTCACAATAGATTATAATTTTTTCCCTCACCTCGCGATATCTTTTGTTTATTTGTATGTTTTCATTCATTATTTAATTAAAAAAAATTTGTCACAACTTTTTTTGTAGAACTTTTGATTTAAGTTTTAAATTTATAAGTTTTATTTTTAATTCTTATACCAATTTTTAAATAAAATGATTTTTAAAAATAGAGAGTCTTTGCACGTAATTCTAAAATAGTAATCTAAATTGATATGAATTAGGAGTAAATAAAAATATGGAGTAGATAACAAAAACATTTTTAATAATTAAAAATTATTTATTTGAGTAAATGGAAATATTTTCATGATAAAAATATATAAGTAAAATAATTTTTAATATGGCAAAAATATGAAAGAAAAGTGATGAAAACAATGATTTGCCACTGCAAGGCATGCCACTCCACTCATGTGTCACTCGTTGACTGTACTATTTTTTATTGGTTGATATGCTCCACGTTAGTGTGTGAGATTCCATTTTTGCTTCACCATTGTTCATGCTTTAAGGAAAATGCTATTTGTACCCCCAAGAATTTGTATCTCATTTTGTACACTGCAAGAATATACTAGTAACATTTTATGTTATGTAGTGCTTATTTTTGTTAACGCACCAACACTTTGTGTCAATATAATTTTTTTTAACACACTAACACTTTGTGTCAGTGTAAATCATCAAAATGTTAATACATATCTTTGGTGTACAAATAGAGTATACATTTTGGTAGACATGTAGCATGCTCCTTTTTAAAATACTTTGTTTACTATTGAAAAAAGATAGCATCAGGTTTGGCTTTCATCTCAATGTACAAGAAAACTGATACGTTACAAATTGTCACATTTTATTTGGTCATACTTTAGTTCTTTATTACATTTTTAGTACATTTTATGTTAAAATAAAGTGCATATAATAATGAAATATTTGGCTTTTTAGGCTACTTGTTATATTTTTACACTAAAATCATAAGTCGGGTAAAGTTTTTATTTTATTCCAAGTTTAAATTAATTTCTCTTATATGTATTTTCAGATATACTCTTTTGAATACAAAATGGATGTTAAATTCAAGAGATGGAGAATTGGGCCAAGCTTTAATGGAATTGAAGATTTAAAGTCCGAGTGCAAGTCAAGATCCAATTGCTATACAAATCCAACCCAACCCACATTAAACCTAAAAAAAAGAGAGTAACATGATGGGTATAAAGAGAGAGGAGCCGCATCATCTCAAAGGGAGGCGGGAAACGGAAGAGAAAAGAAACGGAAAAAACAGAGCAGAAGACCTAGAGCGGCGGCTTTGTGCGACGGCAATGCTCTTCGGCGAGTCTTCCGACCTTCAGTGACGGCGGCGACGAATCTGGAGCGGCACTGCAACAGCACGGCCCATCTTCTTCCTCCAATTTCAGAGTTTAATTCTTCCCTTCTTCTTTAATTATGTCAAGTTTTACTATCAATTTTGTTGAATTTTACATTATGTTTGGCTAAACTCCATAGCTAGGGCAAGGATGAAACTTATATATTCTATTTGATTTTTACTCATGATTTATTTTTCCATATTGATCTTAAATGTTTATTGTCTATTTTTCCAATTGATTATTAGGGTTAATTTTTAGATGAGTTCAATCATGTTTTTCTCATGCTTTGAATAATCCTGATAATTGTTTGACAAGTTAAAAGAGCAGATNAGCAGATATTAGTTGTGATTTCTTGATGAGATACAAT